AAACACCATTCGAATCAAATCTTGCTTCTTTCGAGCTGAATTGGCTGCTCCAATAGGTCACATTGTGTTCCCACAAAAGCCGCAGCTCGCCACTCTTGCTAATCACCAAACTGTAGTAGCTCGAGATCGATTTTGACGAGAGGGCACGGAGGGTCTGAGGGTAGCGGAAGGATTGGCCCGGAAGAAGAGTGTTTGTCGGGCTATCAAAACTCGCCCACACCACTTCGCCTTCACTCCCCAGAAGCACAAAGTTGCCATTGTCCAAAACCCTTGCTTTCTGGACACCCAAATTTGAAGTGCCACTACTCCACATAGTGATTTTGCTTAGGTTATCCACTAAAACAAGCTCCCCATCCATGGCTAGCCTTAATATGGAGTTCTGAGGTATCCTAAGGCCACCGCCAATCGTCCACACAGGCAAATTTGCAGATTTATCCCCTAAATTGTACTTGAGACCGACAGCATATTCGTCTCCACCGTCCATCACCAAGAACCCCAAAGAAAAGTCGACCTCTTTATGCTCAAGGTCGACTCCACGAACTTCGAGACGTAAGACGTATTGACGACTCAACACACTTACGGTATTTCGGAGAACCTCCTGTCCTCTAATGGATAAGAAGGTCTTCCGCGAACACCCTCTCGACAGTATAAGGGCCCTCCCAGTTTGGTTCCAGCTTCCCGACATGCTTCAGTGTGTCGGCCTGGCTCCAGGTGGCCGGTGGAGAGAATCGGAGAAGTCGGTCTGGCCAAATGGAGCTCATGCAAACCGGAGATAGAACGTAATGACGAGAATTGTGGAAGCTCAGGCCGGTCTTAGCCTTGTAGACGACTAGTCGGCCTTCCTTGATCTGGGGAACTGTAGAGGGCCCCCCCTCCGCCGCCGTCGACCTGCTCTCGGCGCGTTAGACGAGCCAGAGGAGGACGAGGTCCTTTCTGCTCAGCCCAATGCTCCCGCATCTTCAACCATTTCGCCTTCTTCCTCTGCCCCTGGACCTTCAAACTCTCCTCCTAAAAGACCCTCTATCTCAACTTTAATGTAGAATTTACTCGACTCTAGAGCAGAATGAACCAATAGTCATACGTTACGCCGACAAATCAAGCGTTACGCCGACCGGCCCCAGCCAGTGAATTAGATAAGGAAGTGAGGATGACCAACGCAACCCAACCTCCATGGGGTCCTCCATAGCATCAGGTAACCATAGATGAGGGGGAAATTGTGAAGATTTAAGACCGCACCGGCAAATAATAAAGCAGCACACAAAGTACCCTTGCCGACCGTCCGGCGAACTCATCCGACCAAACTGACTTACTTAAACATGTTTTTACCTAATATAAACATTTAACTGAATTTACAAGAAATAACTGAACTTGTTGACTGAACCCCACCTCCGGCCGTGGCACTCGCTACGTGCGAGGCCTTCGGCCTTCGGCCAACCCTCGACCAAATCAAAAGGTATCTTGACCAATTTAACATTACTGAACAATACATGACTTTACATGATTATTATGACCTGAGAACACAATTGATGCACGCTGGACAATAAAGGGCCGTGGCGGGCGCGCCGTGCGCCGCCGACGGCTATACGCCGTCTCCCGGCCGAACTACCTTTTTCCCACGACAACCTCCGAACCACATAACATGAATATCATTTTAAAACATAACCACACGGACAGAAAGTGCTGATTACTGAAGGCACATGATACGGCCCGAGGCGACCCGAGGCCACGCGATAGGCGTTGGCTACGGTTGGGGCTGTTTCATCGGCAAAATCTCATTTTTCTCCGACAAGACTGATCTTATTGAACATAAAATAGGCTGAACTGATTATTTAACATCAACAATTTAAGAGTTGCCGGGAAAAATCGAAAGTTACTCGGTCATGAACTTACTTATGCCTAATCGAACATAGGCACGGTTTAATCTAAATTTCTCGACAATTAATCGAACACTTAACCTTAAATCCACCTTGTTAACATGAACATAAATTGAAGGAGGGATTACCTCTCTGATTGCTCGAATAAATTCGGAAAATAGGCGTGCTTATAGGCTCATGCGGTTGCCGTGCGGTTACCCTTCACTTGCCGTGCGATAGCTACTAGTTGCTGTGTAATTGTGCTATACTTGGCCGAGAGTTTAGATGGAAATTTGAGGGATTAATTGGAGATATTAGCTGCTGATTGTATAGAGAATATGTGCTGCGAAGGACTCAAAGAAAAATGGGGGAAATTTTGCTCAATCTCCTCTCTTATATACTCGGCCGAGGGTGAAATGGTGATGATGAAGGCCTATCGTGGCCTTTTGTGTGATTAACACTTGTGACTAATTTGAGGAATTGTGAGATGACTAATTGGCTTCTTAACTCACCACGTGGCATAGCAAATTTGAGGAGAAAACTCTTCCTTAACAAAGTGGAAACTTACGGCTTTAAGCAAAATTTAGGACAAATTGCCCTAGTTTTCCACGGCTTAAGGCTCATTAGGTGATTAATTGGCATAATTAATCACAATCTATGTTTAATTATTTAATTAAACATAATACTTAATTACCAAAATTATTTCGATCGTAATCGGTACGTCGAAAATACATTTCGGTAATCTTGATTGAAAATAATTAATTCCGAAAATAATAAACTATAACGTTACTATATCGGAACTAAAACGTAATTTATACCGATAAAATATCGGGATATTACAATCCTCCCTCCTTACAAAATT